AAAAAACGCCCCGTTTCACGCCTTAATAACCCACTCGACTGCTGATCTCCCTCCCATGTCAAATCCTTCTTCTTTACTTCTTCTGCTAATTGAAACAAACACATAATCCTTTTTTTGGATTTGACGAAGTAAATTATTACTATATGATGCAACAGCAATTTTTCGATTACTATGCAGATAATCTCAGACACCAATAAGCAAAATATTAGTTCATTTTAGCGATAGCTTTCAGTGAACAAATCACTCAGCAGTTTCGCTTCCCCACTTAGTATAAAATTCAGCAATGAAAATTTAAGAAAAACTTATTTGCACTAGCAAAATTACTGAGAGTTCTGTAAAATACTGTAAAAATACGAATCAGAATTAACAGTTCTTCAAAAGGTAACTTTTAAAGCTGTTTTTGCGACAAATTAGCCAATCAGATAATCACAAAAATCTTTTTTCCACTGAATTATGTATTGCATCAGACAGTACGCTGAATCAGTTCTTGTTTTCTATATGTTAGCATTTTATTGGCATTCATTTTTTATCTTTGAAAAGTAATCAAATCTTTGTAAGTATGCTTCGCTGCACTGAAGAAACCGTGCTTATCAAAACCAAAATTCCGTTGAGTCCTTGTAATTCGACGAAACGATTGAATCAGCAGATTAATCAAGTAAAAAATTTCAAGTTCTCCTAAACATTGCTTCTGCAATAAACCAGGCTTTCTAATCAGTTAAATGAAAAATTCTGATAACCAAAGAGATTGCCAATACTGATGATAAGTGATTTGTCGCAGGTCTCCGAAGACGTATTTTGAAACCTTATGATGTTTTTGATGGAATAAAACATCAGCTTTTGTAACAACCATTCATAATGAAGAATCGACATGAGTGTCCTCCGTCATATGATTACGCAGTTGATAAGTGTTGACCGCAAACTTAATGACACACGGGATGGCTGATCAGTTATCAAAAAAAATAGGTTCTCCTTCTATTAGCGCAGTTCGAAATCTTTTCCAACACAATTAAACTCCTCTGAGCATCAACTGAGTGATACGAAAAATACACTACATAAAAAATATAAATATCAGCTCTGCTGACGAGACGTAAGCCGCCATTCCAAGACGATCAAAATCATATTTCTCAAGGTGAAAAGATCGCCGTGGAGAGTGAAAGAACGTCAACATCGACAAAACGTTATTTGTCATAACGTATTGTTTTAAAACCTCTTGATAAACAAAGGAAATATTTATAGAGCACTCAGAAATCTTGTAATAAAATCCCCTTAAGCTTTAATTCACGTTTCTTCAAAAAATGGAAGTACACTTCGTCGTCTATCAATCAGACCAATTTTCATTCTTTGCAGAAACAATACCTCCACTACTCTGTTCACTTGTTTTATGTCTAGGAAACATACCACAGATGGGACCGCGCCAGTAAAAATAAAAATTTGTCTTGCGTAACAGCACAAAACATTTTTTTTTCTAATGACAGTTCACTTAAAAGGTTCCAGAACGGCCGTAAGACCGTTTCTAAATATGCCTTTAGCAGTTACTTCTCGAACGTCATTTAGAACGGATTTCTGATTGAATGTCGTGACCTTATTAAACTTTCACCAAACCTAATTCACAGTGCTGAACAGATACACCAGCGTTATCTGCAATCCTTGATTAGCCAGAGCAGAAGCCCCTCATACAACCTGCCTAAAAAGTTTAATAGAATCTTTCGAGAAACCCTTGTTTGTGTTATTTCCATCATTCCTTAGGACCATTTGCGTCTGACGTCTTTCTTGCTTCCTTCACTTTGCATTCCTCATCAACTTTCAAAACATGCTTCTGCTGAAGATACTGATAAAGTATTTTTTACTACAGCGTTTTTTCCTACTTATCGCAGAGCTTTTTAAAACTTACTGATTTTATTTTGCTGCTTTAACAGTTTCCAAACCTTTTTTTACAGACCTGTTTTTATTCATAAAATCGAAGAAAAAAGAAAAATGACCTAAAAATTTCATAACTGTTGCTTCAATAAAATCACGACGTTGAATGCACAGTTAGAATCTCCATAGATGTATCTTTCCAACAACACAGGTGGAAGTTCATGAGAAATTCTAAGTCATATGCCAATTTCTAAAATTCCTTTAATTTAATTGATGTTAATAAAAAGGTCCTTTGCACTTCAGCTTCTAACATCTTTAAGCAGCGTCATACACCTGCGGTCATTCTGGTTAAAAAATAGTTTCTCAGATACAAACTTGCATTAATGCTCCTCTCAGTTTTTTGAAATCCTCTTCACAAAAAAGACCTGTAAAAGTGAGGAAAAAGTAGTATCATGAAACAAAATCCAGAAAAGTAGCAAAAAAATCTTCTAAAAGACAACGCCCTAGAAAGAGCTATATATCCCTAAAACACATGCCTAAAAAACACCAGTCATTTTGAAATACCAAACCTTTGCCCAATATCATTTACCAGCTGTCGTTACAATAATCCTCTTCAAACATTTTACCCGACCGCCTCCAACAAAAATT